AGAGAGTTGTTAGCTGCCATGTGGGTGCTGGGATTTGAACCCAGGTCTTCTTCGAGAACAACCAGTGTTCTTAACCACTGAGCCATCCCTCCAGCCCCGTGAATTTTTTTTCATTTGCATAAGCAACCAAACTTTACATAAGATTCAGTGACAAAGAGTTTGCTGGCAATTTATTTGCCAAAGAGAAGGAAGGACATCTTGGGGCTAGGACCTTAAGTGCAGTGGTAGAACAGCATATATGAGGGTTCAGTCCCCTTACAAAGGAATTTTTGTCCAGTGGAGGAAAGACTCAATCTGTAGAGAGCTCAGCCTAAAAGCTGGGAAGATCTACTTCTTAGTGCTCTGAAGCTGGTCTGCTAGTGGTTGGGCAGTGGGGAAGCTGGTTTTTAAAGATAACTCTTCTTTTGGTTACCATTCTGTGGTCAGCCTTGTAATTCAAGATTTCAGAATATGCAAATCCAGGTTCCTTACCTACACCAAATACTTTGCACACCATCCAATTGTGAACTTAAGAGCATGGTCAGAATTTGTATGAATGTTTCTTAAATGACTCTAGAGAAGTAAAATTTATTTTTTTATACTTTTAAAATGAATTCCATTTCAAATAATCTATTCAGATGATCGACCTGTGGGTCTTGGAAGGCCTCATCCCCTAGCATATACACTGAGTTCCTGTGTGACAAAGGTTCTTAAGAGCTTGGCTTATAAAAGCTATGGCCATTCTGGGATGAAAAGGACCATTTTTGAGGTTGAGGTTAGACATTCATTTAAAAAAATTAATTGGGAGGCTGGGCGTGGTGGCACATGCCTTTAATCCCAGCACAAGGGAGGCAGAAGCAGGTGGATCTCTGTGAGTTCTAGGCCACCCTGGTCTACATAGTTCCAGGCCAGCTGGGGCTACAGGGAGACCCTGTCTCAAAAAGACCAAAAAAAAAATTTTTTTTTGAATATAGAAATTTACTCATCGTTTGTTGAAATAATTAACTTTCAGAATGCTAATTAGGCTTTTGGGGCTTTACCCTCAGCTCACTAGCCACTCCCGTTCTTGATAGTGCTTTTTCTTTCCTAATAAACTATATTTCTATTTCTGAAATATTAAAAAAGAATGCTAATGAATTTGAGCTGGATTCTCTGTGGTGCCCCCTGAGGATGAGAAATGATCCCTAGTGAATTAGCTTGAAAGCGATTTTCTCTTGAGCCTTGTCTCTTGGAAGGATAAAGCTTTGACAAAGAGAATCATCCTTCAAACAGGTATCTGTAAAGCTTCCTGTTTTATGTTGAAAGCTTTATTCTTACACTCTCCATTGGCATCTAAATGCTTTAAATCTCAAGAGACTTTAAAATAGAGTCATATCTTTAAAGGCAATTCTTCAACTCTTTGGCATAGTCCTGATATTGGCGGCTTTATTTTTCTATTTTTTTTAAAAAAAGAACTTGAATCAGGAGATAAATTACTGATGTTGAGGGGAAACTTCAAGGATACTACTTGAAATAGATGTGTATAGCAGGTTATCAAACAGCCTTGGTAAGAACCAGGATTCGAGAGTCATGGGTTCAAGTTTCAGTTCCACCACTGATATAGATCTTGAATCACTTAACCAATTTTCCTGCAAAACAGAGTTCATGAAGTACTTACTTCAGGGTTATGGAGGTTTTTTAAAAAGTTAAAAGTGCCTAGAATAGTGTTTAGCATTGCTACAAAGACAGTTTCCTTCATTTCAGGACAAATACACAGGTTTGGGTCTCGTTGAAACCACTAGAATATGTAATATGGAAATTTGAAACTATGAATTGCGTTTCTTAAGGTTATAACACTTTCTGTTTAATGGCAGGAATAATATGACAATAACATCATATTCAGTTTCTTGTTGTTGTTGAGACAGGATCTTGATATATAACCCAGATTGCTCCTGGATCAGTAATCCTTCCCCTGCCTCCTGCTGTCATTGTAAGTGAAACCATTATGCCTGGCTTTGTGCTCAACTTTGAAAAAGCAGGAAAGTAAATTATTTATAGCACTATCATTTTTTAAAGATTTTATTGCATTTGTCTATTGTACACCTATGTGTATGTGTGCGTGTGCACATATGTGCGAGAGCACATGCTCGTGCCCTCAACAAGCCGGAGTCTTTTCTCTCCTTCCACCATGTGGGTCCATGGGATCAAACTTAGGACATCACATTCATCAACAGGTGCCTTTACCCATGGAGTCATCTTATTTTATAGTCATTTAATGACTATTTTGATGATTACTTTTCATCCTTGGTACATGTACTCATGTATTTTACAATCTATGGTTATATAATCAATAATACTCAACCATGTGGATGCTGTGTTCCACCCAGATTGCCACGTGGACAGAGAGCAGACACAGGAATGTTTGTGACTGTCATGCTATCCTGATTGCCCTCAGGGAATGTTACCTTACTTGAGAACACATCCCCCATCCTGTCCTTGGGTGTTGCCCACACCTAGGAAGTGGTCTATAAGGAGGGACTAAGGGCGAGTCCATATTGCCTCCAGTCAACTCAACTCTAAAGGACTGTTCAGTCCAGAGCCCCTGTGTAATTGACTGAGGCATCTCTCTATAATGAGTTGGCACTGGCATTCAACAGTCTGCCCAATCCTGCTTCCCTTGACCACTCACAGGTGAAGCTCTGTACCCCCTCCCTTCTCAATATAGTTAAATCCCAGTCTCAGCCTCTTTCAAGAAGAATCCCTTGTATGACTGTATCTGTCACACCACCAGATTGCTGTAAGGAGGCTGCAGGTGTTGGGAGGGGAGTTCATAACATCATGTTAAGCCTGGGTTTTAAAGGGTGGGTCTCAACTCTGAGTGATTTTTGTTCCACAGGAAACATTTAGCAATGTTTGGAGACATTTTTGGTTTTCATAACTGTTGGGTAGATAGTAAGTACACTGCTGAGTATTTTAGAATGCACCAGTGTCCCCACCATAGCAAAATATGAACCTACCCTGACCTCTCTTTTTTTCTAACTTTTACTTCCCAGATGCCCTGATGTAAACAGGTTTGTTCCACCAGGTTCTTTTGACATGACATACCATGTCACCATAGACCCAAAAGCAGTGGAGCCAGGCAAAATGGCTAAAACTTCTGACATCACAAGCCAAAATAGGCCTTTAATCCCATCAAGTTGGTTTTCACAGTGATGAAAGGCTAAGACATTGGTCCTCCAAGTGTTCAACAGAGTAGTCTTGCTTGTTTCTCTCTGAGATGTGGTTGGAAATCCTCACCAACCACAGAGAAAGGCTACACTGAAGAGTGCGGTGCTGTGAGTGTCTAGAGCACTAGCCTACAAAGTGAGCCTGGACCTCAGAACAGAAAAGTCCCCAGTGCTCTCTCCCTGGATAGAGTCAGATTTGCTGCTTCGGCAACAGAAGATGTGAGAGTGGCCTGCTCCCTGCCAGGGCATTCACCTGAAGCATTTGATGTTTAGTTAGACTCTGGAAATGGAAACTTGAAAAAAAAAAGTCAATGTGATCATGTTGC